CGGTGACTAACACAAATAATGTAATTAGATGCATTTAAGGAAAATTCTGCGGCGTTATGTGAATCACAGAAAATCATCGTCCCTGGTCTTACGTTACTGATCGCATGTGACTTATTCTCAATACTGCAATACATAAAATATTGTCACGTAATTTATGTCAAAATTCTTGTTGATCGTCAAAACAAATCTGTGGGACTTAATTACCCCGGTTAATAATCAATTTTTTTAGTTAGACACTTTTCCTCTCTTTTTTAAATTTCATAATAAATGAAAAAATCAATAGTAACTCAAGAAGACTTGGATTTCGTTGCCTGTGAAAGCGATCGGTTTGAAAGTGAGAGAATAAAATGGAAGAACGAGCTGATACAGGTTTGCGAATTTTTTAGATCCACTTTTATCTTTTTTGAAAGCTGATATCAATTTATTCTTTGTTTATAGCAAGCTGTAGCTCAGACAGAAGACGAGTACGAGAAGGCTATATTTAAAGCTAAAGAGGAAGAAAGAAAAAAATTGAAAGAAGCGGAACGTAAACGTAAAGAAAAATATGAACGTTTGAGAAAGGTCTATGACGAGTTTGAATTAAAATAGTAAGCTTACAATTTAATTATATTTTTAATAGGAATGTATTTAATTTAACTGTACAAAACACTTTTACAGCGAAAGAGAGAGACTTAAAAGGGAGCAAGAATTCCAAGCCGAACAAACAAAGTGGAGACAAGAGGCAGAGGTCTGACTAATAATTCAATTTTTTAAACTGCGAGAAAATAATTTAATGGATTTCATAATAGTAATAATTATTTAACTTTTAGAAATATGAACGTGAACTTCAAGCAAAAAAACAAACAGAATTAAATCGTATACGATTAGAAGAGGAGCAAAAGAAAAGACGAGCATTAGCTGCAGCTCAAGCTCAAGAAGCTGCCATTGCTGAGGAAAAAAGAGTAAGGGAGAAGCATATACGAGAAGCTGAAGCCGACAAAATAAATAAAGAAACACAAAAAATTGAAGCTGAGAAGAAAGCGCTTAATAAACTTGTATCAGATAATGCCTTGAAAGAGGAAGAAAATTATCGTCAATATCTAAAATTAATTAACGATAATATTGCAAAGAATACTCAGCTAAAAGCCGAATCCTCAGAATCAAGAAAAGGCATAACTTTGGCGTTAAATACTCTCACCAATGATAGGAGTAAAATAATTGATATAGTATGTATAAAGTCGGGATATTGATTATATTCGTTTGTTAATAAGTACTTATATCTATATTAAAAGGCTGTTCGGTTAGATAAAATGCTCAAAAGTGTTCAAAATAATAAGCAACTTTATTATTATCTTCTTAATTTTGCGGCAAAAGGCATCGTGGTTCGTATACTTCTTTTTTTAGATTTTTTTCGTTTAATTGGTAAAAAATAGTTTGTTCATAACTTAAAATTTTTTATCTATTTTATAATAAATTACTAAAATTAGAAACACGCAGAAGTTGATGTAATATCCAAGGAATCGGCGGCTTTTCCATTTGCTCATGTTTCTGTTTTAATTTCGACAGAACATCCTGAGTTTATGGACAAATTCATGATGGTTCGCTTAGTGAAAAAGTGCCCATATGTATTACCAAGATATTATGTCAAACTTCCGGTAACTTATAGTTTAGTATTTATAAATTAATTAATTTTTATTGAGTTAACAATTAGTAATTCCTTGAGTATATAGAATCAAAGTTTGAATGATTTTAGAAATCAGATGGGTTTCAAGCAAAACGAAGATGAAGAAGCTTATGTCAATAGAATGTGCGCAATTTTAGCTTTGTATTGTGCTATAATGCAAACTGTTCCGTTAATTCCTAGTAACTATTAATTTGTATAAAGTCTTTCAGCTTTCAAAAGGAGAAATAATATTTAAAATTATAAAAAAATTTTTTTTCTTTAGATCGTGTTAATCCATATTCAATGGATCATGCATGGACTTGGTTGGCTCGATTATTGAATTTAATACCGCATAAAATTACTCCGTCCCTTTTATATATTTTTTTCAAGGCAAGGAAATAATACTTTAATATTACTATCATTACTAAGAAATAATTTATAATTGGTCATCAATTTATTTATTTAGATTGCCGGTTCGCAAATGATACAAGTATATAAAGGGCAAGCTGGAAAATTATTTCTTACCACTTATAAGGCTTATGTACAACAACTTCCTCCAGAGATCAAACCACTCTTAACAACTTCTCCTGCCGCAATGTCACGGTTGAGAACATTCTTAGAAAATGCATTTCAGAAAGGATTTACTGAACCTGAAGGAAGCATTCCAAAATATTGAATATGGAGTTTTGGATTCCAATTTGATTTTGTTTGGACGATATTTCAAAGTTGTAAATATTAAATATTTTAGGTATCATCATCATAATAATTTCATCTATTATTTTCATTATTTCTATTTCATCTAACTTACTTAGATCATGGCCAATTTGGCTATTAATGTATATTCCTTTGAAATTTATTGAATTGACAGGAAATAGAATCAATAAATCATTGTGAATTTTTAACTTTTGAATTATAAAATCCTCCTACCAAAATTTAAAGATGTTATATTGGAACACATGATTTTGATTGAACTACAAACTTCATTGTCGCTTTAATATTTTATTCGAACGCGTAAAAGATACGCAAACAAAATGTTATTTGTAGTAACAAGCATTAATTAAGTTAGTGATAAGACAAAAAGTAATTAAAAGAAGTGAAAATAATTTAATAAACGTAATAAGCAAAATATGACGCGCAATTAAAGTTAATAAATTAAAATTTTTACCAGATTACGATAATAATTTACATGATAAATATATATATATATATATTATAGAAATACATTTAAAGTATTGTGATTTTTTCTTTTTAAAAACCTAATTTATGGATTGTTGAAATGTCTTTGCTTGATTCTAAATCATCCAATTTTGGCCACCATTTAAACAAAAAATTCTCACAAATGAGTTTAAACCACGGTGTAAATTTCAAACCTATTTAAAATACAAATTCTTTTAATAAGATGCTCAAATTAAATCATAACCAGCATTAAAAAAAGAAATTACCGGGGTTATAGAATTTTTGACGTAATTCTTCCGAAGATAAAAATTCAACGGCTCTAACTTCATTTTTATTGATTGCAAGATCATTAAGAGTAAACTTTCCTCGAATAAAAAGTATGTAATCAACTAAATAAGATATATATGTGTTAACATTTGATGATTTTTTTTTAAAAAAAAAAATATTCATCAAAATTAAATAATTACTTTCATGCTCGCCCCAAAGTCCATCTGATGGAGCTAAATAATGAACTCTAGTTAAAAACACGAAATCATCAAGAGGGACCTTTTCCGGTTTAATGCCCAATTCTTGTTCTAATTTTCTTTGAGCTGCTCGACGTACTCCTATATTATTTTTTATTAAAAAAAAAATTAATTATATTTCTCAATCAAGATCAAATATAATTCATTTATAACCTCACCAATTTGAGCTGCTTCTTCTAATTCCAAAGGAGTATTTAAAGGATGAGAACAGCAAGTATTTGTCCAATAGTCAGGAAATGTTATTTTTTCACTTGCACGTTGTTGTAATAATAATTTATTTTCAGAATCAAAGAGAAATACCGAAAATGCTCGATGTAAAAGTCCTTTTTTTATGTTCTCCATTAAATGACCTTTTGAAATATCATTCAAAATAAAGGGATTAATTGACGTGTTTATAATTGAACATGCGAATAATCATCATTAGAATTACATACAATTTTTCTTGGTATCTGTACTAATTTTTTCATCCTTTTCGTTAACTACAATACACATTTCTTGCATTAATTTAACTTGCTCGTCATCATATTCCTCTAAATTAACATTATCTGTCATTTTTTTTTATTTTTTTTATTTTTTTGTTTCTTCTAATAAAAAAAAACCAAAAGTTTTGCAAACAAAAAAACAGAAAGCTTTTTTTTAGGGTATACATATGAACGAAGTGATTACAACCAATTATATTTCATTGTACGATAATTTATACAAATCAAAAAAAGTATATAGAAGGTTACAATCACTTTCGTATAGTCGCACACTATGACTTCACCCACGTGACTGATGCCGGAATTACGGCATTCCATATGATAAATATGAAAACTTAATAATTGTAACTTGATTTGGTTATTTTTAATTATGAGACATCCACATGATAAAATTAACTAAGTAAGGAAGATAATATAGAATTTAAAATACACACATAAATTATGTCAAAGAGCTTGAAAAATCAAAGCACGAGATATAGTGAACCATACGTTTAAGCTACGCCACCTTTTTTGTAATATATTTTGTTTTGGTTACAACATTTCTCTGACCTTTTATGGAGAAATGGCTTAAGTTGACAATACGAAATACCATCATTCATGAATCCCTATTTACAAATTATTCTTTTTTCCTTTCATTTTATTATTTTTAATTAATAGTTGACATTCATTTTTCAAACCAAATTCTACATTTAAATATAATAAAATTTTATCAATAAAATAGCTGAAAATGTTCGTGTTGAACAAAGAATGTCGTGTTTGTTACGAATCACTTCCAAGGTCTTCTTTTCGTGAAATCACAGTAAATTGTGACCATGGATTATTTATTTGTAAATCGTGTGTTAGTAAACATATTTCAACCCAACTAGATAGTAAAGGTGATGTGGGAATTAATTGTCCGTTTGACAATTGTGGAGAAAATTTGGAGTATCATGATGTCAAAAAACAAGCCAGCAAAGAAGTATTTGATAGATATGATACCTTAACGCTTCTTCAAGCTTTGAGACAAATGCCAGAATTTAGATGGTGTAAAAATTCTGGATGTGGTTCCGGTCAGATTCATTTTGAAGGAGGTAAAATAAAAAATATATATACATGTATATATTTATTATTGTTGTTATTGTTAACTTAAAATCCATAACTTTATCAGATGATGCTCCTATAATGACTTGTGAAGCTTGTGGTGAAAAATCCTGTTATACCCATGATGTTCCTTGGCATAAAGATTTAACTTGTGATGAGTATGATGTTAATAGAAGAGGTGAAGATGAGGCCACTCAAGATATGCTCGATAGAGAAACCAAACCATGTCCCAAATGTGGTGTAAGAATCATTAAATATGAAGGATGTAACCACATGACTTGTAGAATTAGCAGTTGTAAATATGAGTTTTGTTGGTTGTATGTATTTCTTTTTTTTAGTAATGTTTTTTTTTGATATTTTATAAATGTCGATAATATTTATTTATTTTTGATTTTTTATAGGTGTTCGGCTGATTTTAATGAGATTAGGGCAAATGGAAATACATCCCATAAATCTACTTGTCAATTGTATGCGTAAATGGCGTCATTCATTAGTTTGCTAGTAACTCAAACATGATATTAACACGAAGACCAAATAAATGATAGGCCGAAATGAAAGGCCCAAATTAAATCCCAAATTATTGTACAGTTTAATTTATATAAAAAGTATTGCTAATTACTGCTTATTTCTAAAACATTCAGGCTGGCATGTAGGATTTCTAATTACATAATGACAAAAAACTCGAAAATATTACGAGTTAGTTGCTTTCAACGAATAAACCATTTTAGTTATTATAAGTGATTTTTGTAATTTTTTAAAAATTTTATTTATTTTTCAATATTAAAATACATTAGGTTGGTTTAGAGTTTAGAGTTAATCGTTCCATTATTTAAGAAATTAAAACATAATTGCTATCTAAAACAATAAAGGTTGAGTCTACTATCAGTGTGACCAAATACTTTTGTATTAACTTTATAAGATCCAATGCAAGAGTTCATAGAATTTTTTTTATATTTTTGTTCTTAGTTTAACACGTTGCTCATTTTTAAAAGTATAAAACTATTACGTTTATATAAAAAGCAACGTTTATTGAATCAATATTTTAGAATAGGCATGGACTATGAAATTTGTTATATAAGGAATATATGTATCATGCAGAAAATCAGAAATTGATAAAAGTGGAGACAATGACAACTTAGTCTTGACGTAATCAAACGTTAATGCGAAGATAATCACGTGAAATTTACAAAAACAAATTTGCTTTTGTTCAATTATTTGGCCATTTATGGAAAAAAGGCTTTATTGTTTCCATAAATAAATAAATAAATACCCCTCCAAAAAAAATTATTTTCCCATTTCTTTTGAATTAATTTTTATTTTTAAAAAAAAATGGGAAGCTCTGTTAGTACTGTTCCAACCTCAACTCCTACTCGCATGAATTCAAATTATCGTCGTCGTACCCAATCTGATTATTTACCATCAGAATATTCACATTCATTTATTAGAGATATAAGCACTATTTCCACCACAATGAAAAGAGAATGTCAAATTTGTTTTGATTCTCTCCCTAAATCTTTTTTTCTTTTAATCACTAAAGGTTGTAATCATGAACTTAATATTTGTAAATTATGCGTTAGTAAGCATATTTCAACTCAATTAGGTAGTAAAGGTGACGTGGAAATTAATTGTCCATCCGATGGATGTTATCAAAAATTGCAACATGATGATGTAAAAAGACTCGCTAGTACGGAAGTCTTCGAAAGATTTGATCTTTTATCACTTCGCCTTGCTTTAAGCAGGATGCCAGAATTTAGATGGTGTAAAAATTCTGGATGTGGTTCCGGTCAGATTCACTTTGACGGAGGTAAAATAAAAAATATATATACATGTATATATTTATTATTATTGTTATTGTTAACTTAAAATCCATAACTTTATCAGATGATGCTCCTATAATGACTTGCGAAGCTTGTGGTGAAAAATCCTGTTATACTCATGATGTTCCTTGGCATAAAAATTTTACTTGTGATGAGTATGATGTTAACAGAAGGGGTGATGATGAGGCCACTCAAGATTTACTCAATAGAGAAACAAAACCATGTCCTAAATGTGGTGTAAGAATCATTAAAAATGGAGGCTGTAATCACATGACATGTAAAGTCAAGACTTGTAATTTTGAATTTTGTTGGTTGTAAGTATATTTACATATATTTATTTTTTTTTTTAAAAAAAAAAAAAAAAAAGGACTGCGATCTTTATTTATTTATTGTTTCTAATTCTTAATTTTAGATGTTTAGCGGATTATAATAAAATCAGAAGAAATGGAAATTCGTCTCATAAGAGATCTTGTCAATTGTATGCGTGAAATGTAAAAACCTCGATGTTTGCAATTTTATCCATAATTTTTACCTTGCATATTTTAATGAGTCTAAAAAAAGATCATTTATATTACAATGTGAATTCACGCACAAGAGTGTTAAAAGGTAGAGCAAATGTTTAGGCGAGAAATCCAGATCTTTCAGAACCTTTTCTTTTTAGTGCGATAAATATCTCGCTATATTAAAGAAAATACATAAAGAGCTGATGATTCATGAAAAAATGTTTGAAAAGAACATGAATGGAATCATGCAAAGGGATAGAGATAATTCATATGTTAATACATTTATTATATATTTAATATTGTAATTCCGATTTTTGTAAAATAAATTATAAAATATACAAATTATACGAGATTTCAATAAACCGAGCAAAAGAATTTGATTCTCATAGCATAGAACTAACTTTCGCTCCGAAGGTCACATTAATTAATGAATACTCTCCAAATAATAATAATAATAATAATAATAAATTACCAAGTTAATTTTCTTAACGATCGCCAAATATTTCTATTCGAAAAATTGAATAACGCTCTAACCTTAAACTTAATTTACGATCCGGAAAAAAAATTTATGTTGATTATTTCTTACATTTAAATTCTAATTACAATATTTTCTACTATATCATCCAAGTAAAAAAAAATATATTGGAATTTCAAAAATCCAAGTAAAAAAAAGTAACATTTAATATCAATTCAATCAATGTATTATAATATATTCAGAATAAAATATAAAAAATATAAAAGCAAATAAAAAATATATATTAAGCAAAAATTATTTTTAATAGACATACCTTTCAAAAGTTTTTATTAAAACCTTTCAAACTTTTAATTTAAATGATAAGCTTTATCATATCTTTTCTTTTACAAGTGACAAACTTTTAACTTGTTAATACAAAGCTGAAATTTATTCAAGGGCATTATTTGTTCAATAATACTTTATTTTTTTAAAAAAAAAACAGTTTATATTTATTTTTAATACAAAATAAAAAATATATTTTGAAAGAATTATAAGTTTAAAAGCAAAATTGTCTGTTTTTCAAGTAAGATCGACTAAAAGTTAATGAGAGTGTTCGAGTTTTTAAGTTGATAAATTAATAGTCGCGAATTAAACGAACAATTGTATAAAAAAAATCTTAATGTTAACCAATATAAATAATCACTATATTATCGTACGGTTAAAGCTTAAAAGCTCTGAGATTTTTTCTAGTTAGTATCCACCTAAACTTTCAGCCAGCATATGACTAACCCTCCGGTTTATCAAATGAATCATACTAAATTTTTGGTACAAATTTTGTTGTTGGATGCGCAACTACCTTTTTTTACAGTCAATTTTAACCTGAGCTACTTTTATTATTTTCCTTAATTTCTTCTGTTATTATTCAAACAAATTTCACGTGATAAACTAATAAGCATTATTTCAAAATGACTTGTAAGTAAATAAAATGAATACTTTATCAAGCAAATTTCAGTTTAAAAAATTCTTCCATAGCAGTAATTTAATATAAAGAACGATTGAAAATATTTATAATTACTATAATAAATGATGTTTTCTTTATTCTAGTTATTAATTCTCAACTTATAAAAACGCAATTCCTTATACTTTTTGAAAAATTTAGTAATAAGGTAATCACTATAAAAAGTTAATTACTTTACGTAAAAGGTTGCAACAAATAAATACAAATGATAAATCTTTAAAATTACTATGAATACTAGCTCTTTAGTATATTTTATTAAACAAGAGGATTTTTGAAATAATAATATGAAATTAAGATAGAAAATAAATTATTTTTAATAATTAACTATTGATTTCAATATTGAACACAAATAAGCTACTAATTTTCAATATTGTACGATATATGCAAATTAAAGTCTATTATAAAAAATTATAGGTCAGCATGATCCTATAGAGCCGTGCGATAATTAATAATTATAAATTCCAAAAATAAATTATATATCAAAATTTAGTTTTTTAGAAATATAATCTATGAATGATTAAAAATAATTAATTGTGAATCTATTGTAATTAGAATATTATTATCATTATAAATTTTCAGTACTTACTATGATTATTCGATTCATTGCGACTATTCTCGTTGGATTTGGCTTTTTTAATATTTTCACCTAAATAATGAAGAAAAATTAGTAAACTGATCACTATTTGATTACTTTAAAATAAACTCTTTATATACCATTGTTATTCTCAATTTGATAATCGTCAAATTTTCTTTTGCCTTTAGTAATCAAGTTTGATAATATTATCAATTAATTGTATATTAATTAATTAGGGAACGAATGTTAAGTCCAGAGCACACACACAAAAGGGAACAATCAGCAGACAGAAATCTTATGTTACTATTTTTAAAACACATATGATCCTTCGCTATGCTCTGGACTAAATAAAAGGATTATTATTATAATTAAATAAAGTCTACTTACTATATATACGTCGATTTGTAGATTCTAAACAATCTTCATTCATAGGTCCAATATCAAGAGAATAGATAATTTTAGTTGGATTCTTTTCTTCATTCAAAATAATTTTATCAATAAATTCAAGAATAGCCACCGTTGCTGGTCTCTTATTTGGATCAGGATGCCAACATTTTTCCATTAATTTAATATATCCTTCAGGTGCATTTGTGATAATAGGAGGACGAATACCATCACAAATTTTAATAATAAGATCTGTATCATAATTATGATCCCAAAAAGGTCTTTTACCTATCATAATTTCCCACATAATTATTCCAAAGCTATAAATATCTGATTCTTCTGTATATTTATTGCTTTTCTGCCCTTGAAATATCTCTGGAGCAATATAAGGAATAATTCCATAATATTCATTTTCATTAACTGATATTTCAGTTGATAATTTACTAATTCCTAAATCACTAATTACTACATCATATTCATTATCACAAAGAATATTTCCACTATGAAGATCTCGATGAATGATTCCTTGATAATGAATATTATGAAGTGCATTAATAATTTGTCGTAATAGTATTAATTTATTATTCCATTCAATATTATAAAAGTTTTTGGTTATAAAATTCTTTAAATCATATTTATAATATTTCATAATTATTATAAAATCTTTTGTTTTAGGATTTTGAGTAATTCCATAATATCTAGTTAAATTAAGTAAAGAAATAATGAATCCATCATTTAAAGTAGCATTATAAAGCATCATAAGCTATATTTAGAGAAGTATATAAATAACAATTAATATAAAAAATATAATTATATTATAATTATTAAACTTAAAAAATTTACCTCATTTAATTTTTTAGAAGTAATATTTTTAGAATTCTTAATGTGTTTTAAAGCAACTGTTAGATTAAAATCTTTATATTCAAAAACTTCATTTTCTTCATTCCAATAAGGTGGACCATTAATCCATGTTGCTTTGTAAACTTGACTAAAACCTCCTTCACCAATAATTTCTAATATATTAAATTGATTATAAGGAATAAATAACATTCTGCTAGATTCTTGAATAAAATTAATCTGTGTAAATTTAATAAATTTATCAACAAATTTATTTTCACTTGGCTGATATAATAATTCAGATTGATAGCAAATTATACAAATTTCATGAAATTTTTTTGAAGGTTTTCTTTTTTTAATACATTTATCACATATATTATAAGTATTATTTTCCAGTTTAATTATATATTCTATTGATATTATTTTTTTAATTGAATTTTTAATATAAATATCTTGTATTATATCTTTATTCTTTGATACTTTTTGAAACCAATAAAGAGATTTTTCTAAATTTTTTTTTATTCCATTACCATTTAAATAACAAAATGCAAGATTAAATTGTGCTTTAATATTATCTTTTTCTGCAGCTTGTTTATACCAATAAAAGGCCTTTTCTAAATATCTTTCTGTTTTTTCACAATTTTTATAATATATTGCTAAATTATACATTGCATACTTATTTCCATTTTCTGCAGCTTGTTTATACCAATAAAATGCTTTTTCTAAATTTATTTCTATTCCTTCACCATAATTATAACATTTTGCTAAATTATATATAGCATTTTCATTTCCATTTTCTGCAGCTTTTTGATACCAATAAAATGCCTTTTTTAAATTCTTTTTAGTTCCTATACCATATTCATAATATATTGCTAAATTATACATTGCAACTTTATTTTCATTTTTTGCAGCTTTTTGATACCAAAAAAATGCTGTTTCTAAATTTTTTTTTACTCCTTTTCCTTTATAATGTAAAAGAGCAAAATTATTTTGTGCATCTTTATTATTATTTTTTGCTGCTTTTTGATACCAATAAAAGGTTTTTTCTAAATTTATTTCTGTTCCTTCACCATTTTCATAACATATTGCTAAATTATACATTGCAACTTCATTTTCATTATCTGCAGCTTTTTGATAATAATAAAATGCTTTTTCTAAATTTTTTTCTACTCCTTTACCAAATTTATATAAAGTAGCAAGGTTATTTTGTGAATATTTATCATTCTTTTCAGCTGCTATATTATACCAATAAAAAGCCATTTCAAAACTCTTTTTTGTTCCTTTACCATTTTCATAACAATTTGCTAAATTATATATGGCAACTTTATTTCCATTTTCTGCAGCTTTAAAGTACCAATAAAACGCTTTTTCTAAATTTTTTTCTGTTCCTTTACCATATTTATAACATATTGCTAAATTATACATTGCATATTTGTTTCCATTTTTTGCAGATTTTTCATGCCAATAAAATGCTATTTCTAAATTTTTTTCTATTCCTTTACCATATTCATAACATATTGTTAAAATATACATTGCATCTTTATTTCCATTTTCTGCAGCTTTGTGATACCAATAAAAAGCCTTTGATAAATTCTTTTCAACTCCTTCACCATATTCATAACATATTGCTAAATTATATATTGCATCTTCATTTCCATTTTCTGCAGCTTTTTGATACCAATAAAGAACCATATCTAAATTTTTTTCTACTCCTATACCATATTTATAACAAATTATTAAATTATGCATTGCATCTTCATTTCCATTTTCTGCAGCTTTTTGATACCAATTAAATGCAATATCTAAATTTTTTTCTATTCCTTCACCATTTTCATATAAAATACCAAGTTCAAATTGTGCTTGTATATTTCCATTTTCTGTAGATTTTTGCAACCATTGAAATGCTAAATATTTATTAATTTTAGTTCCAAAACCTTTTTTATAGCATCTACTTAAATATAGTTGTGAAATAGTATAATTATCTGCTGATTTTAAAAAATATATAAATCCTTTACTATTATTTTCTTCTAAACTGGTCATATTGTAATAATAAAAAATTCCAAGAAAAAAAACATATTTTGGTTCATTTTGATTTTCTTTAAGCAAGTTATATATAGTATCGGTTGATAGAGTAGTAAGAGCAATGCATTTATTGATAAAATGCTTTGTTTCGTTATAATCTTTACCTTCATTTTGTATTTTAATCAAAAGTAAGAATAATTTATCAATTAAAATATTAATATTATCAGTTGAAGTAATAATTTCATGCTTTGTTTCTAATTTTGACATATTATTTAGATAACTAAATAAAAGGGAAGAGGGTATTTAAATTTTTTGTATTGAAAAATGGTATTCTTTATAAAAAATTTTTTATTCTTCACTTGCTTTAAGATTTTAGAAATTTTGACCCCCTTGTTATCATCCATTTTAAGAAATTTATAATTAACTTATAAAACTTGTGGAACGTCATCATGCCCCTTTTAAAATGACGTAATTTCTGGGAAATGATCATTTCGGAGATTAACGCATTTGGTATACAAGAATTTTTTTTTTTTGGTCAGAATTACTCACTATAATATCCAAATGTTTGTTATTTATGATTCGAGTCATTAGAAGATATTTGCAGTTCTTTCATAATTGCTTCCTCATTAATTCCACGCGCATTTTCGCACTGATCTTTCCACTATTTCCAACTTACACCAATAATTTCCGATTTCAAAAGCGAATGAAACTCGCATTACCCTAAAATCTGCGAGATAATCAACCATTGCTCCATTAGTTGCGCTAATGACGTTAGAGTGAATCTCGGACTTGTGACCTTCTCAATCTCTATAATTTAGCGAGGTTGTAACAACGTACCATCAAGGCCACATGAATAAAAAACGCCGTGATTTGAAATATGATAAAATACAATTTATACATGGCAGATAACCAAGGTTACGACTTTGTATATTTGCATGCTCTTGGTCTATTTATTCATCAAAACAGAAAAAGTAAAAAAGAAATGAAAAGCCATATGAATTAATACAGAACTACTGTTCTAGAGGTAAAATATTGTGGGACACTTACTCTTGATGTAATCTCATCGCATCGTCTGGGGACAAAAATAACCCATCAAGTACTTTTGAAGTATTTCTAGCTTTTCGTATCCCTCGTAGCAATTTTTTTATTTTTCGTCAGTAATTTTAAAGGTATTCATTTAATGATCATAGATGATGGTGCGTTTTCCCCTAACAAATGTCGTTCATAATTTGTAAAGGTTCGTCACTACAAATCAAAGTTATCCATGTCTTCTCTCGTTCGGTTCTTCAGACACAAGAACGTTAAAAAAAATTAGGTGCGTGTACAGAGAATCTTACCAAGCTCAAGCTACAAATTCTTAGATTCGTTCCAATTCTCACCTTCGCAGAAAATATACTCTTCGCAAAAATTGACGTTTATTTGAAACAAATAATTAGTAACTAAACCAAAAACAATTATTCCACGAAGCTCGCTGAGTCTCATAAAATCGAACTCGCTGATTCCGCTTATTATAGACAGAATTGGATCCTTTGAAATAGTTGCTGGACTGTGAGAGAGCATTATTATATATTGTCCAATTTTTTTGATGGTAAGAGAGAGGATAATCTAAACGCCCAAATATTAATAAAGATTTCGTTAGCAAAAAGATAATCGGTATGATGTTGATATTTTTGTAACTTAATTTTCTGATGGAATAACTTTTCGAAATAGTTTTAGGGGGATTGATAATTATAATTTTGCATTAACTCAGCCATGGAACTCATCATGCCCTATTTGTGATGGAAAACATGGGAATTATGGATTACATGGCTCATGGTACCGCAAAAATGGGAATCAGCTCCCTTATGATCCTGAATTAGCAAAGTTGTATTCCCAAGATGAGTTGGAATATTGTCTTACCTGCAACAG